AGGAAGGAAGGAAGGAAGGAAGGAAGGAAGGAAGGAAGGAAGGAAGGAAAAAAAGGAAACGGTGGGAAGCAGTAGAGGAAAACACCCAATTTTGACTTCTGGCCTCCCATACACATATCTTCATAGCATATAAGGACAAAGGTATGTTTAAACTGATTTAAATGTTACAAGGTGCCATGTGTATCAAAACATCATATTCCATTAATATGAGTAGCTTTATGGTTCTGGGTTTCAGTTAAAGATAAACATAATTGAAATGTGTGTCTCTGTGTGCTTGTACACACAAATATATGTGTATATACATATGTATACACACAACACACACATACATATATTTAGAGAGAGAGTTTAAATTACACTTGACTTTCTTAAATACATGGTAAATAAGCTGTAGATATTCTTTAAATAAGAATACAGGCATGTTAAGAAGAACTTTTTTTTTCTTTTCACTGAAATGAATTGGTTCACACCATCTTATATGAGCCTAGTTTATCACAAGTTTCAACTCTTGTTTTAAGTAAGAGGTCCATGAACAGAGCATTAGAAACTGGATTCTTAATTTATGTTGTGTTTTCAGCTAAAATCTTCTTTTTTATGAGGAGAAGAACTTTGAGGTCAGTATGAATTCATTACTGGACAGAAGAGACTAAAATGAGCCACATCAGTGATTGGTAGATCTTTCTGTACCGATGAGAGGGAAAGGTCATTCAGTGGGTTGTTAGGACTCACTGTTGTTGGAGGTACTGCTGTTCTTGACTGTTAGGACACATTCTTTTTTTTTTTTTTTTTTTTTTAAAGATTTATTTATTTATTATGTATACAGGAGAGGATGCCAGATCTCATTACAGATGGGTGTGAGCCACCATGTGGGTATTGGGAATTGAACTCAGGACCTCTGGAAGAGCAGTCGGTGCTCTTAACCTCTGAGCCATCTCTCCAGTCCCAGGACACATTCTTAAAAACATTCTGTATCAGAATATCCCAAGACAATGAAGTACTTGAAATAAACTATTTGAGCCACTCTAGTCCGTAAGATGTTGTGGGGGATTCCAAAGAGCACTAGGTGGGGAAAATAGAGAATTCATGTTAGAGTTTGTTTCAAGCTCAAAGGATAGACAATCCAGTTGAATTTCTGATATTCCAAACCAGAATAAGACCACTTAATATATAGGTCACCTGTACAATTATATTAAGGAAACTGTTCTAAGACCAAAAGGATTTCACCATTATCTTTCCAAATGAACCTTTTTCAATTAATTGTTTTTAATACAAAAAAAATATTTGGTTGTGTTTAGGAAAGATTTCTTTAGCAAACTTGTAAATGAAAAAACTTAATAGAAGAAAAAGTAATAATCTTATATCAATGTTACTCTGATTGGATATTTATCAAATAGATGGGCAGATATGAGAAAGGACTTGAACCCAGAGATGGAAGATTGGGGTGAATTCTTGGTATTTGAAGAGAAGCAGATATGGTCAGCGGAAAAGAGAGCTTAGAGGAGCTGAGCTTCTGATGTACAGGTGTGTCGGTCATCTGGATTATTTTATTTGTTGTTAATGACAAAGTATCAACAATGTAACATTTTTGTTATTCAATTATTTTTTGTTTTGTACTTTGAAAAAAGTTATGCAAATTTTAAGTGTAAGTGAAATAAATTTATCATTTTACCAGTAAGGTTGTTAAAAATAAATCTCAAGTTGTTTTTGTTATTATCTTGGGGCATTTGTTTGATTAATGATTGATGTGTGTGGGTGGTGTCACACTTGAGCTTGCAGTCCTGGGTGGTATAAGAAAGCAGGCTGAGCCAGCCATGGATGACAAAGCAGTTATTAGAGTTCCTCTGTTGTCTCTGCTTTAGTTCCTGCCTCCAGGTTCCTGCATTAGCTCCTGCCCAGGCTTTTCTTGATGACAGACTGAAACATGTAAGCTAAAATAAATTATTTTATACCCCAAGTTAGTGTTCTATCACAGTAACAGAAAAGTATTTTTTAAATTCATTTTTAAGATAACATTAAACAAATGATTCTGAATTTCATGGCATCATTTTCATACACAGTGCCATTGAACATCTTTTTGTTGCTGCCGTTGTTTGTTTTTTGATACAGTCTCTGTACATAGCCATGGATTTTCTTGAACTCACTATGTAAACCAAGATTTCCTCAAACTGACAAGAGATATGCCTGCCTCTACGTGCAAAGTGCTTGGACTAAGAGTGTACACCACCTCACCATGTTTGAACATCTGTTTTATCTGTCTTCCTATTTCACTACTCTCATTCATAGCCCACCCTGCTCTGTTCCTAACTTCCTCTTTTGTCCCATTTCCTGGTTCCCTTTCTACACCAAATAGCCCCCACCTCTTCATGTTATCTGTATTCCAATGCACTTTCTTTTCTTCTCTTCTCCACTAAAATCTCTCTACACCATCTTCTATTTTCATTGCCAATGTCACAGAGAAAGAGAGAAGGAGGTGGGGGGTAGACATAGGAAAGAAAATTTATTCTGAATCTGGTTTATTTTGCTTAGTGATGATCTACATTTGTGCCTTGCTTGATCTGTTTTTCCATTTGACAAAGAATCCATTGTGTGTATATCACATTTTCTTCATCCATTTATCAGCTAATGATGTGGAGGCTTATTCCATTTCTTGACTACTGTGAATAATACAGCAATAAATATGGGTTTCTAGGTACCTTTGTAGTAAGTTCTTTGGGTGTGGTCTTAGGAATGGTACAAGCAAGTCACATGGTAGTTCCTTTTTATGATTTTCAAAACCTGCATATCAATTTCTATAGTATCTATACCAATTTACACACCCACCAGCCTTGTACAAGGATTCCTCTTTAGTCATATTTTCACCAGTGTTGGTTGCCATTTTATTTGCTTGATATACATTCTGCGTGGAGTGAGATGGAGTCCCGAACTAGTTTCATTGATATTTCCTTGATGGCTAAGGATAGGGAACATTTTTCAAATATTTTGTTGGTCTTTCTAATTCTTTTTTTGATAGCTATCTATTTTAATGATTGGATGACTTGGGGTAATTAGATTTAATTTATTTGTAGTTCTTTGTGTACTCTGTGTATTTAGCCATATCTGATACATGGTTCACAAAAGGGTCTCCCATTGTGCAGGCTGTCAGGTCACTCTGGTGACTACATCCTTTTTGTGCAAAGCCTTCAGTTCCTGACATCTCATACATCAGTTCTTAGGACTATTACTTGTGCTTTGGAAGGCCTTTTCAGAAAGTCATGTCTGTGCTTATATCTTGAAGTACATTTCTATGTGGGTTTTTTTCTGCCATTTTAAAAGTTTTGGGTCTTATATTAAGGTCTTTGATTCATTTTTAATAGGCTTCTTTTTTTGTAATGAGATAGGCATATAATTTCTTTTTCTACATATGAATATCCAGATTTTCCCACACTATTTGTAGAAGAGTCTGTTTTTCCCAATAAATAAATTAGGTGTCTGTCTTCTGTATGGGTTAATCCCCAGGGTATTCTGTTTGTTAAATTGGTCTGTATATCTATTTGGGGAGCCAGAAGTAAAACCGGAAGTCAGTAGCACCAGAAAGTGTGAAATTAAACAAATACTTGGAGACTGAACACTAAACTCTGCACTTGTCATAGAATTTAGAAATAAAGAATCAAAGGACTCCAACTTTCTGGAAGCACAGCTTACCAGATGTTTTGTGATTCAAAAGAGTTCTAATAAAAGTTTGAATACATTCCTCAAAAACTAAGACAGGACTCATGAAAGCAATGAATTGGTCCATCTCAGTGTTTCAGGAAAATAAGTACAAGTCACACTCAAAAGCAGTATGTATCAAGAAGTGATCAAGATAGAAAGTAATTAAACTGAGAATCAAATTACAAAGTATAGAATGTATAGGACAAAAAGAACAATGTCCTGTATGTTGTGAATATATGTTGCTATGATTGATTGATAAATAAAACACTGATTGGCCAGGAGCCAGGCAGGAAGTATAGGCAGGACTACCAGAGAGGAGAATTGGGGGAATAGGAAGGTGGAGTGGAGGAGATGTGGCTAGCAGCCACTATAAGGAGCAAGATGTAAAGTACCAGTAAGCCACAAGCCATGTGGCAAAGTATAAATTAATAGAAATGGGTTAATTTAAGATAGAAGAAGTAGATAACAAGAAGCCTGCCATGGCCATAGAGTTTGTAAGCAATATAAACCTCGAGTGTTTACTTGGTTGGGTCTGAGCAGCTATGGGACTGGTGGGTGAGAGAGATTTGTCCTGACTGTGGGCCAGGCATGACTGGAGAAAACTCCAGCTAACAGAATCATTTAAACAAATGACTAATTCTTTGAAAGTATGATCAAGTTTGATAACCTTGCACCAATGTAAGCAAAAAGAAAGAAGAAAATTATAAATTAATAAAATTATAGATGAAAAGGGTGATTTTATAATAAACGAAGCAAATGCTAATTAGGATATTCTTCAAAAATGTATTTTGAAAAAGCTAGAAAGAAAATTGACAAATTTTAGACACATATAACCTACAATATTTAAATTAAGATGATCTATAACAAGCAACAACACTGAAGTCTTTTTAAGTATTTATGGGAGAAAACAACCACTTTTTGATTGGTCTTAAAGCCCCGTCCATAAGATGGGGCCCACATAGCTGGGGAGGTTGAGAATCTGAGGGTTCTTAGGTTCTAGGGCCGTGGGCCCTAGTGGAAAATCTAATACTGGTAAAATCTGGTAAAGGAACAAAGAAATAAAATGACTCCTTGTGGTGATATTTTATTTGTGCTGAAATGTGATATTTTATTTGTATGTTAATAAATAAAGTTTGCCTAGAGATTAGAGGTCATAGGCATAAACAGAAGTCAGGTGGTGGTAGCACACACCCTTAATCCAATCACATGGCAGGCAAAGTCTCTGTGTGTTCAAGGACACAGACAAGCACGGTGACACAAGCCTTTAATCCCAGTACCAACCATAGAGATTTGGAGGTCTGTATAGACAGGCAGTGATGAGGAAGTGATGTGGCTGGGCTTAGAGCTAATGAGAAGGCAGAATAGGAAGGCAATAAAGGCACAGGTTAGACAGAAAGAGGTTCCCTTGGGAAGCTACAACAAGGTGGTAAACTAAGGTTAGTTGGCCGCTATTACTCTCATCTCTGTGGCTTGCACCCTTGTATTTGGCTCTGTGTTTCTTATTTAATAAGATTGTTTAGAAATTCATCTACAACTCCTAATGACATACTGTTTTTCTCATAGATCAGTGTTTTAAGGTGAATCCACACCTCTCCAACTGTTCCTGAAATCTAAGCACCAACCTCTAGGAAACCTTCTGAGGTCTTCCTTTTCTCTCTGACTCCAGCCTCACCAGATCACAAAGAGCTTCTCCCCAATCTTACATCCCCCAACTCATCCCATTATCCCAGCCCCCAACACTAGCAGGGATTCCCTGTGAACACACCAGCTGAGCAGGCCAGGGAAACGGGCACCACACAGCAAGTACACTCTGAAATCCCGGAGTGAAAACAGAAACCAAGGAACAAAAGACCCACTCAATAAAGACAGTGTCAGAAATCAACACCTGGACTTATAATCACCCCAAACCCAAATGCTTAGACTCCAGCATAAAAACACAGTAACAGTCCAGAAATCAGCACCTGGACTATAATCACCCCAAACCTAAATGCCCAAACTCCAGCATAAAAACAGTCACACCCAGGGCAGTATGTCTCCTCTAGAGCCCAGCTATCCTATCACAGCACACCCTGAATATTTCAACATAGCTGAAGCACAAGAAAAAAAGACCTTCAAGTCAACTATGTGAAGATGACCAAGGCCCTTAAAAAGAAAATGAATGAATCTCTCGAAGAAATCTAAGGAAACATAGACCAGAGCTTTGTTCACCTTTCATCAGAGAAGTTGCTTCTTAAAGTAGATGGGGATTGACACAGACACACAAGTGCACAGTGTGCAAAGTGTGGAAGACTTCAGGAGTCCTCAGCCCTAAACAGGATGTCTTTATCAAAGACATTCCCCAGCATTCATCTATGTGGAAGAGGAGACAGGAAGATCCTAAGAGCCAGAGGGGGTGGACAACTCCAAGGAAACAACCTTCTAGCCCCACCAGGGCTCATAAACAGATGAGTTCACAGACACCATGACAGTATGTGCAAAACATATACAAGTCTGAAACAGCCAAAAATCCCAGCATGGAGGTAGGGAAGTACACCCAATTGGTAACCTGCTGGAGAAAGGAAAATCACTCTCACCAATGGAGTGTTATTGGGGATATCTACTACACTCCAAGGCAGGCCCTGTGCCCAGAACTAGTTATTCCTAAACAAAATGGACTTCAAGGGCTTTTGTGTTCCTTTCCCTCTGTTTTGGTATTTTATTGATTATATTGGTTTTTGTTTGTTTGTTTCAAGTTCCTTTTTTATTTCATTTGAGATAGAGAAAATAAAGTTGGGTGGAGAGAGAAGATGGAGGAGCTGGGAAAATTGAAAGAAAAAAGAATATGATCAAAGTATATTCTATGAAATATTTTTGAATTAAAAAACAAAAATAAAGGTTCTTCAAAATTGAATTCAAAAGCGTATTATAAAGGTCATAGGCAATGATTAAGTTGACTTGATCCCAATGCTGCAAGGATGGTTCATATAGGTTCATATATATATATATAGGTTCATATTCATATATATATATATACATATATATATCTGTTAATGTAACATACCACATAAATAGACGTAAGGACAAAAAAAATACATAATCATTGCAATAAATGCAAGAAAAGGTATTGACCAATATCCCAATTGCTTCATGATACAAGCAGAAGAAACTGAGAAGAGAGGCACATAACAGCAACAAAGGCCCTGTCTAGTAAACCTAGAGCTGGTGTTGGACTACATGAAAGAAAGCATTTCTTCTAAACTTAAGAACAGAATAAGAGTGCGGACTCACCTCTCCTGTTTAATATAGTATTCCAAGTCTGTTCTGTATTAGGTGACTTCCTGCTAGCTGTGGTTTTCTAAGGATAAGTGTACAAAATGCAGGAAACATTCACCTGTTTAGTCAGCAGTAATTTTTGAATTCATCACCCAACACCAAATAGGTAATCATCTCTACATTAATACGTGTAGCATATATAGAAACAGATACAAGGTTTAGGTTCTGTATGTTTTTAAGATTTTTAACTGCTTAAACACTTGCATAGGTTATTTCATAGAATGTATATGTCTATATAAAGCTCTGATTAATTGTTTAATATATATTATCCAATGCTCTTGATTTTATCTGTCTCAAATATTGTAAAATAAATATAGGATTTAGAAGAGAAATGAATATATTTGTCAGGCCAATACTTGGTTTTAACAAGCATAAAGGGTTAGCTACAATCTTTGTATTCTGAATTATAAAAGAAGACATCATTTAGCTCTTCAGCTTTTGAATTACACAGTACAGATTTTATTGTACTAATTATAGCATAGGATATATGATTTTAATTTCAAAAGCACATTGTTACCTGTTATTCTTTTTAATACCTAAGAGTTAATAATAATTTTTCACTTAAAATTTCCCTGTTAATTGGAAATAAATTTATTTTCATGTACAAAGTATTCTTACTGTGGTTTTCCCTCCCACATCTTCTCTCAGATTCTCCTTACCTTGCCATCCACCAACTGCACACCTTTCTCTGTGTGTGCAGAACAAAATAACAGGCAAACAGAACAACAACAAATGAAACAGAATGAAATTTTAAAGAAGAAAAAGCATAATAAACACATCCTCTCAGAAATGTGCACTTCACACACACACACACACACACACACACACACACACACACACACTAACACATACACACCCTATATTAATAAAAAAACAGAAATCTTAATATTCAAGCAAAAGACAATTTAAAAAATGGCCAACAAAGCAATATGAGGCAAAATAGCTACAAAAATACCATTGAGTTAGTTTTTGTGTTGGCCATTTACTGCTGGCCATGAGATCTGCCCTTAAGTCTGATTTATATGCCCAGTGAGATTCTACTGGAGAAAACTAATTTTTCTTTTGCAAGTGGATGTCAGTTGGGTTGATAGTAATTTAAGGGCAACAGATAGACCAAAATGTGGTGGTGGGATGGCAGGTAATTAGTTGTATTACCTGAGCATACTGACCCTCAAAGTTATTTTTCCTCATTTAAAAAAATCATCACTCTGTTAAAATTCAATGGGTAATTCATAGAAAATTTAATGTTTATTTAATATAATTCAATATATTTAGTCTTTGGGATTCTGGATATGCTATTATTAACAATATTATAAAATGGAAAAGCAGTTTATAATTTTTATTAGTTTATAAATGCTATGTTATAGCATGCAATTTTTATTTATCTCAGGTTTATCTTCCTGACCACTTCATTTTTTAAAAATCTGTAGCACAATACTTTAGTTAATTCAACTGGAATATCTGAGATTTTTAGCCTGTCAACTGACCTCTTTCCTTTCCACTTTTGTGTTGATGTTTCAAGGTCTATGTCAATATTACCTCCATCTCTGCAGCTTCATGTAAGAATAAAGTGAGTTCCAAGAGCACAATAAGAGAAGGGTAAAGACAGAGCAACTGGGATCTGGGATTCAGGGAACAGATCATTCCTCCTAAGGGAAAAGTGAAGAAAAAAAAAACCCTCTTTTGCAAAAGAACCGCGCCCTCTTCTCTCGCTCTTCTTAACAAAACCCCCTGTGAGAACAGCAATCTGAGAGACAACAATAAATGTAGGCTTCCTGGTCAGAGAATTCACTCCATGAACGACAAACTCTGCACTCCTTTCAGACCTGTGACCTTACTGCCCTTGCTAATATTTTAGAATGTCTAGAAAGAGTACACCTCAGCCATTCATGATCTAGCAGTTTGGCTACAGAATGTAGCCCGGGCTGAAAATGGAAACTCTGTGCAGAGGCAGAATATGACTACAAAGCAGAGCAGCCAGCTTTCTATAGAGAACACAGAAGGGAAAAGGTTATAAGTCACGCCCCATTCATGTAGTTAACAGCCACAATTCTTTCCATCCATAAGGCATGAAAACATTCTGTCTAGTTTAAGATAAAATTTATGACAAGCAGAAAATGAGCTTTTGAAATTCAACAAAATAGCTAAGTACTATGGCTTAACGGAGAAGAAGGTAAGCAGCATCAGTACTTTCTGAACGATGCTCCATCTAAGGTTATAGATTTATTGACAATTTCCTACAGTGACTTTTGACTTGATGATTTTAAGAAAAGTCTAGGACTAGAGATTTAATGGTTCAATCAAATCACATGAGTACATATGTCTGCGTCAATGTTCTATGATCAGTTTTCAGATTCAGGAAGGATGACTTAAAGAGTGGAAAAACTCTCCGCCCCTGCCTAAGTGACACTTCACATAGAAGCTGGTATGTACACCGTGTGCCTTGAGTCAATTTTCGAAACTGCTGTGGTCAGGCAACTAAACTCTACAGGGTTAAGTATGGCAAAGACAATGACCTCACTGATGAACACACATTTGTTTGTGTTCAATAATTTATGTACTCATTATCATGACGTTGAAGGTATGTTAGAAAAGGTGTTCATAAAGATCAGTAAGTTGCAACTTTGGTAGAACAGACATGTGTTGTGTGATATTTTGATTTATCTGTATTCTGACAAATAAAGCTTGCCTGGTGATCAGAGGGCAGAGCTAGCCACTAGTTAATCACAGAAGCCGGGCACACACCATTAATCCCAGCACTGGGGAAGTGGAGACAGGAAGTGATAAGGCAGGGTAGAGACAGGATCTTGGCCCTTTTGGTGGGAGGATCCGGAGAGGTAAGAGATCACTGGTAGCTGCTCCTCTGTTTCTCTGATATTTCAGGTTATTACCCTGATATCTGACTCTTGGTTTTTACTGATAAGATTAATTAGATTTATGCTGCAAACACATATCAAAATAATTATAATAGCTTTTGGTACTAAGGATATTTAAAGATACCGAGCAATGGATTAAGGTAGAAGGAGAGCGCAATGTAAGTTTTCTCAGGGCTGAAGACAGGGCTCAGCCAATAAAGTGCTTGCTCTTCGATAAGAAAGCCAGGATGGTGGGGCACACTTGTTCTCTGAGCCCTGGAGAGTTAGAGACAGATCAGTCAGAGCTTGCTTGCCAGTCAACCTCATCAAATCAGTGAATTCCCGGCCAGTAAGAATCTTCGACCCAGGAAATGAAGTGCCTGACACCTGAGGAATGAAATCCAAGGTTGACCTCTGGCTTCCACATGTACCTGTATACACACACACACACACACACACACACACACACACACACACACACAGGAAATACGTTCCTGATTTATACTTTCCTTATGTCAGGGAGATTAGGACTCCACAGGACCTACATTTTGGAACAAACACGGCATGTTCTGCTCCTCGGCATCTTTTCTATATCAGTATACTGTTTCCTATTCTCCTTTTCATTCATGCATGTTTAGTTTTGAACAGAATAATTTCGCCTGCGAGATAGAAAAACATCCCATTGTGGCAAGAAAAGCGTAGCAGCAGTAACAGGACCTGGCTCTTCAGATCACATTTGCTAGCAAAACAGAGAGGAAAATGAGTAGAAAATGGTACTGGGCCATGAAACAAGGTGGACCCCATGGGACACATCCTCCAACAAAGCTCTACCTCTTAACGGTTGCACAAACTTTCTAAACAACATCATCTGCTGGGGACCTTCTTCAAACACATGTGCCTGTGGGTCACATTTCACATACTGACCACAGTATCTTACAATTTCAATACTAATTCTACTAACAATTTACCAATTACTACACTTCTCCTACTGTGATCTTACCTCTTTAGATTGTTTTTAGCTTTTTTTTTTTTTCACCAAGAATTCTTGATGCAAAAAAATTCAGAAAGATTCATTTTAGCTCACTTGTTCAGTGTTTTCAGCCCACGGTTGGAAGAACCCATCGCTTTTAAGGGATGGTAAGGGGAAACATCATGAAGAGCATGGTTGACAGTGCTGGTTGGTTCCTAGTGAAGAGGAAGCGCAGACTCAAATGATGGTCAAAGCAATAACAGTAGCAACAGCAGCAGGTGAACTTTTCAAGGGATGTTTCCTCCAATCCCCTTCTTCCAGTGCATCCAGGCCATGTAATAGTCCATTCAGTCATAGTTTGTCAATGGATATTCTCCTTTATAATGCAAGTGACTTGTGAGCCATTCATCTTTTAAGACAGTAACCAAGCACTGAATGCTTGAGCTTTTGGGGACTATTTCAGATTCAATCCATAAAACATGTTATCCTCAAGATTAGAATAGGTTGAAAAATTGGGTGATAACAAAAACTGTTCTCTGATTTGTTTCACAGTTTTTCTAGGTGCTTTATATAAGACTAAGAAAAAGTAGAATGCAAAGCAAATTTTGTACTCTTCTTATATCTGGGATTATACCCAGCTAAAGCTTAT